TTCCTTCAAATTCCCCCACCAATCCTCTTCAAGTAGGATGGCGGGTCCACCAAAACTATCACGTTAACCATCACCTCTGATAGTCTTTTTCCTCCAAATTCCCCCACCAATCCTCTTCAAGTGTCAGAAGAAGAAGATACTACGACCACTAAAACCAATCCTCTTCAGTAGGATGGTAGGTCCACCAAAACTATCACGTTAACCGTTACCTTGATAGTCTACCTTCCTCCAAATTCCCCCACCAATCCTCTTCAAGTAGGATGGTGGGTCCACCAAAACTATCACGTTAACAGTTACCTCTGATAGTCCATTTTCTCCAAATCCCCCCACCAATCCTCCTCAATAGGATGGCGGGTCCACCTAAAACTATCACGTTAACCGTCACCTCTGATAGTCTTTTTCCTTCAAATTCCCCCGCCAATCCTCTTCAAGTAGGATGGCGGGTCCACCACGTTAATGATTACCTCTGATAGTCTATTCCCTCCAAATTTCCCCACCAATCCTCTTCAAGTAGGATGGTGGGTCTACAAAACTATCACGTTAACATTTACCTCTAATAGTCAAACTCATCAGATAATGACCTACCAGGTGATGTGCCTCTATTCCGACTTCATGGATAGTGCCCCACTAGGTGATTTGCCTTGTCTATCTCTTTTTATTCCCCTGCTAAGTCTTAATCAAGACTGAGGGTTGGTTACTTGGAATCCATTGGATTAAGAGTAATAAATCTTTCACATCGTCAAGTTAACATTACACTTCTGACGATCATCACCCCACAGAGTATGAATGCAGCTCACATCGCTCAAACTTATCACGTTAACAATACACCTTTGACAATCAACCTATCACTCCTCTTCAATAAGATGATAGGTCCTCAAAATTGCTCAAATCGCAATCTTCCCCAGCAAGACACTAAGTCTTCAAAATCTTGTTCAAATCACAAGGCAACACATTCCTGTCACGTTAACAATATACCTCTGACAACAATCCACTTATCAATCCTCGTCAATAGGATGATAAGTCTCCAAAGTTGCTCCAATCGCAACACAAATCCTGTCACGTTAACACTAAACCTCTGACAAAACCCACTTATCAATCCTCATCAATAGGATGATAAGTCCACAAAGTTGCTCCGATCACAACACAATCCTGTCACGTTAACACTAAACCTCTGACAAAATCCACTTATCAATTCTCATCAATAGGATGATAAGTCCACAAAGTTGCCCTGATCGCAACATCTTCCTGTCACGTTAATATCACACCTCTGACAAAAATCAACTTATCAATCCTCGTCAATAGGATGATAAGTCCACAAGTTGCTCTGATCGCAACACATTCTTGTCACGTTAACATCATACCTCTGACAACCTACTTATCAATCCTCTTCAATCGGATGATAAGTCCACAAAGTTGCTCCAATCGCAACACCTTCCTGTCACGTTAACATCACATCTCTGACAAAATCCACTTATCGACTCTCCCCAATAGAGCGATAGGTCTTCAAAATTGCCCCGATCGCAATATTCTTTTTGTCACGTTAATATCACACCTCTGACAAAATCAACTTATCGACTCTCGTCAACAGAGCGATAGGTCCTTAAAGTTGCTCCGATCGCAACACTTTCCACTTATCGACTCTCGTCAACAGAGCGATAGGTCTATAAAATACTGTTAGGTTAACATCACACCTCTAACAGTCAAACCCCCCAATGAACTTGTTAATCCTTTTTCAACAAGAATAACAAGTTGTCATTATAAAATCCCCAGCGGATTAATTATTTTCTGGAACCATCCTAGTGATAATAAAGAAATTTTTTTTGAATTTCACTTTAGGTGAAAATTCATGCCAAGTTAATACCATACCTCTGGCACTTTCAACTTTCTTTCGGTGTTTCAAGCCACACAGGAAGAAACGACACCAAAAATCCATGCCTTCACGCATGAGGGACTTTATCTCGATCCCTAATTAGAGATAAGTCTACGCCTAACACGTGTTGCCGGTTAGTCTTTTTCCGTGAAAATGACAAAGTCTATGTATTCAAAATCATAGCATCAAGCCTAAGAGAAGAGGGTTCATTCTCTTAGCACAACGTTACATGTGGAGCGGACTTAGACAATCCACATGCTAGCCCGACTCAAACGGTAGTCGGTAAAGGCTTATCAAATCCGTTGATGGCTGAGGGTTTGCCAAAAATCCTATGCACGTTTGCAGGTCCATCAGCTTAATGGATGTGAGCCGAGACTTAAAACAGATGAGCCAAAGACAAGTCTCAAAGACTTAGTCAAAAATGCACGGAAGTCACTTCCATGTCTTAAGTCAAAACGTTGAGGTCAGACCCGCGATGCAAAAACCAAACGCCGAGGTCACACCTGTGTTCTAAATTCAACATGCAAGGGTGAGACCCGCATCTCAAGTTCAAAATGCAGGATCCACCCCACATTCGAGAAGCAGGATTATGGCGCATACCTTCACACAGGTCCTACGTGGCAAATCCCTTCAACCAAGATGCCTTCGAAGAGCAAGTGCAAGAGAACAATTCCTTTACACAAGGAGATCAACAGGTCCAAGATTAAGAGTTGAGACCAAAGTATCGAAAATTCGTGCCCAGTCAAACCCGCTGAAGCGTTTCGAAAGCTTTGGAGGGGGTTCGGTAGCTGTCTAAAATCACAATAGATAGGGCTGATCCCGCATCAAAGCACCGATGATGGAAGTTACAATCTGACGACTTCAAAAGAGCTACAATTAAAGACTTTCAGACTGTGTAGATCGCTGGAACGGTTACAATCTGAGCGAACTTTCAACGAGCACACCGATGAGAGCTCTAGTTTAATAGCCTTCACCAATGCCAACATCGAGAGTTACAATCTGAACGAACTCTTTATTTGCATATCAAAGAGGCTTAAAGTAAAGATTATAAATGACGATCTTGCAACGCTTTTCCGATCAGACAAAAGAGCTACAAATGCAAATGGTCCGTCTTCAAATCAAGATGTGGAAGTCCTCCCACGTACGCAGCATCCAAGTGCGGCCGGCGTCATATCCGACGAACGGCAGCTCAAATGCAGCTCCCAAAAGTTGCAAACGCAGCCTTAAATCGCCAACCCCAACGCAGCTCGCAAGCCGCTGCCCACACGCAGGCTCTATCGCTGCCAGTCATCTGAACGCAGCTCAAATTGCGTCGCGCAAACCAGCTAAATCTCGCCTAGAACGAAGCTCAGAATCGCAGACGCTTCCAAATCGCTGCAAACGGCAGCTTCAGACGGTAGATTCCAACGCTCAAACTGCAGCTTCTAATTGCTGCGTTCCGAGCTTCCAGACGATGCGTTCAAGCTTCCAGACACTGGCGTTTGAATAGGCAGAATTTCACGTTAGAAGACACGGGCCTGCGTTTGACATGCGTTCAAACACGAGTTGAACGGTTTCAAAACCGTTTCCCACGATCTGAGGGGATCACAACTCCATTCAGGAGTGATTTAAGGGACGGTTACATCGCATTAGCCCCACTTAGGAGCGAATTAAGGAGGTGGTTACACCCCTTAATCCCCTATAAATAACTAAGAAATCAACTTAGTTCGGGGCTGGATCTTTGGAGGGCGGTCAGTTGGAACTTCTTGGCAGCGAAAAGAGGATCCTTCATCCTTCGGTTTGAGCTTTGGAGATCGGCAATAACCATCGATATTTGGCTTATTAACCGAATTATTTTCGGTTCAAACAACTCTATCATTATTAGAGTTTGTTGTTTGTTCTGAAACAGAAAACTCGTCAAGAGTTATCAACCAGACCAGACCGTTGTTCCAGTGAGTATAGATATTCGGATCGTCAACGAGAAGCAAACTCGACGCGAGCATTCGAGGGAGGCATCTCATCGCCACCGTGAAGAACCCAGAACTAAACAAAGGGGAGAATCTAGATCATTCTCTTCTCTTTTGTAATCAGGAAATCCAATTGTAATCGAGAGTTGAGAGAGTTGTAATTATTCTTTTTCTAAGCAGTTAGAGAGAATAAAATCAGGTACAGTTCTTTCATCATTACAAATTTTCCACAAACACCTATAAATAGAAGGGAGGAAGAGAGGAGAGTGTGTGGGGAAAATCTTGAGTGAGTGTGAGAAACTTGAGAGGAAGTGAGAAGAGAGAACTTGTGGGTTGTTGTACAAGGAAACTTGAGAGGAAGTGAGAAGAGAGAACTTGTGGGTTGTTGTACAAGTTTGGTATTCTCCTCATAGTAAAATCCCCCTCCCGTGGACGTAGGCAAGTTTGCCGAACCACGTAAATTTTGTGTCTTAACTGTGAGTTGGTTTTGCTTGTCGGTTCCCTCGACAAGTCAGTCCTAGAACTGATGAGAGGTTGAGCTGGAACAAGAGTTGGTTATTGCTTGTAGGTTCCCTCAACATTCAGTCCTAGAACTGCTGAGAGGAAGAGTGCATACCTCACTTTGTTGAGTATTTCACTTTCTGTTCTTGTTTCCTTAGAGAAACGGGAATATAAAGGTTGACTTGAGCTTTTGTGAAAACAAAAACCAAGGCTTTCTCTCAGGTGATATCGTTTCCGCGGTGTGAGGGCGTGACTCTACGCCTAACAAATCTCAAATATAACAAATAAGTAGGGTGACAAAAAAACACCTTTTAAAAAAAAGCACTTGAAATCGCTTAATTTAGTTCTTATGTTGTCAGTTCCACAATTCAGATTGCAATTCTAGGAGGGGGTGAGTTAGGTAGCAGTAGGCAAGTCAAACAAAGATTCAAAACTTATATTAATTTGGATTTCACTCCAGCTTTATGGTTGCATTTGTTGATTCCAGTTTTTAAGTTGATAACCAACTTATTTTTAAGACAAATCTCACTGTTATGTAACCTCATGCTTGTTGTAGTTACATAATTATGTCCGACTACATAAATACAAGGTAACTGGTAATAGAAGCTTCAACAATTTATAAATTACTTGTTGAAGGGTAAGAAATGCATGATTTTATATTCAAAGAATAAAAGCACAAGTACCTGAATGGCTCTAACATTGAAGTGGCCCAGGTCAGCAAACATAGCTTCGGCCCCTGTTCATGAGTTTTCTTAGTGTAGCAAATTAAGTTGCCTGGATTCCTCGTGCAAATAAATACAGTAAGGAAACCCCACGATTAAGAAATGTTGTGAGCAGTTTAAATTACCTGTAATGCAAAGCACAACACCTCCAAGAGAGAGCCATCCTTGTTTTCCATTTCTCTTGAAATAGTCTATTATATACATTGGATTAAATGCACGCAGAACTCTCACGTCATGCTTGATTAAGTTATACACCCCAATACCACCAATAAGACTGAACCAAAGTAGGATTACAGGAGCAAATGCATAACCCACTTTATCTATGCCAAAGCGTTGAACGGAAAATAGCATGATCATAATGATAATTGAAATAATTGCAATTTTGCCTGTTCAAGATGAAAGAAGAGGATGATGAGAAATTAATATTAGTTAGCCTGCATTTGTATCAACATCAAGGTTTGAAGGGTGTATTCCATTATCATGTATTCAGTTATCTCCATTAGCTTTCAAACTTTCTTGGGCACTCAGTTGTCTAGATCTAGACATAAAGAGTTGATGTGCGTAACTTCCACTGAATGTTAAAAGTCTCAAGACATATGTACATTGTTATAAAAGTACTTTTGCTACTCAACTGTGAAGAAGTAGTTGACTCGTCTGTGGAGAATTTTGACTTAAAAGGTGTTTTTCGTGTGCATTGGATTTGTGGTTTAGTTAAGAAGCTAAACTCATTACAGATTTAGTACTTAAAATTTGTTTTATCAATATTTGGAACAGCTGAACATATTTTCTGTTTTTGGTATAACTAAAATTATTCTTCAACTAAAAGTATTCAAACTCTTGACTTGCAGAACTTCTCTTTTCTGATGGTTTTCATATTTGTTTGACTACTAGGAATGATAACAAGGAAACTTCTAGCTCTCAAATAATAGGTCATTCTTTCATTCAAATTTTGCTAGTTTTATTCATGTTATAGGGGTCTTGATCAAGTTTGATGGGTAAAACATACAGATCTCTTTGCTATATTAATAGAAATCACATGCACAAATTCATTCGTGAAATTTTATATACTTTTCATGTATTCTGGACGTGATATATGGATGTTAAATCTAGACATTCTTCACAGCAGTCCGCCTTCAGAATACTTTACTGTTGCATTCATCTGTCATATTCTAAAGAAACAGTCTACTCTAGTTTATCACAATATATTATTTTTTGCGCGCACTTAACTTATACATGCTTCACACACTCATAGCTTTTGCAGAATCAAAATTCATACCTTCAGTCAAGCCAGTTGCTTTCTGTTGAATCCCACTTACTGCTGAAAGCACTACAAAAATAACGAAAAATCGAGCATAATTAATATATCTGAAAATGTCAGTATGATGAGATATCCGAAAGAATCTGAAAGAATGTCAAATTATGCTTATAGGATAAAAGGTATATGTTTAAAATCTTGGTTTAGATCCTCATTAAATATGAGAAAAAAATTGAACAATATTAACCATCGGATTGTGTTGGATTTTTGCAAGTATAGTTTTAAGCATCATAAAGAAAACTGGCATACGCACCAACCAGAGAGCAAATAGAATCTTCATAAATAATTTTATAGATAATACTATTATCCCATTGCAGGCGGTGCGTGTGTGACATAGAACGCGGAGCGCCCTAGTCGAATTGTCAGGGGAATGAATACTTTTCTAGATTTTTTGGTTTTCTCCAAGTGCAAGGGCATTTTATTTTTTCTACATGTGAGAGGCATCTCTGTAGTTTCTTCCAGTGTGAGGGCATTTCCTTAGTTTTTATTCTCCATGTGCGAGGGCATTTTTGGCATTTAAAAAATGCGGCTTGCGCAAACTGAAAGGGAGACTTCTCTTAATATATAGTATAGATGTGAGAAGTATGTTGTCTATTCCAATCCATATTTTTTGACCTTTGAATGTTTTAGTGCTAAATTAACAAATGCAAATTTCTTTTATGCGATCATCATTGCTTAGTGAATACAACTATGCAGTCAATTTAACTCACCAGAGATGCATGGAGTTAAGACACCGTCACCCATGATCATGGATGTACCTAAAATTGTTAGAAAAATAAGGGTGACTTTAGCCGCTTTACTGTTCTGCATCTTCTCTTTGATCCACTGAGCCCTCTTCATTTGCGTTGATGGTGTCTGTAACTTGTAATTGGAGAGCATTGCATCTTCAGCCTGTTGATTTGGTAGCAGGCTTATCTTCGCATACCGTGATATCAAGGAATATAGAGCAAATGCCCCTCCTACAAGAGAATTAATTATGAAGCCACGGTGAGATGGTAGTCAAAAGTTTAGTTGCACAAACACGAGTTTCCACTGAATTAGATCTGACTTGTTCTTTTACAGGAATTATCTCCTTTCAGGGTTCAGGCGTAGAGCGTAGTTGCATTCTCGGAGAAAATTGCAAATCATTTCAGCGAAATTCACTGGCTAAAGTGAAATATGTCACTCTCCTCTGAATCTTATAAATTTGCAAAATTACTCAAATTATTTTATTGAGTCGATTAGTTCCAGGGAATATCGGATGTTACAATTCGAGACAAACTCACCGTTTCCATTATCGTTAGCCCACAGTACAATAAAGGAATATTTCAGCAACGGTATGAGAAATAGAGTGTAGAGGATGAGAGACAGGACACCAAGTATGTCATCTTGATGTTTGATCCCGTCGGTAAAGGTGCTTGCATACACATACAGGGGTGAAGTCCCGATATCTCCGTAGACGACCCCAATGCTCTGGAAAGCAAGATGCAATGTGATTGCCCAACTCGCCTGCATGCAACAGCCAATGTTCAAAGATCTGAAAATTCTTGAAACGATAAGCTATGGAAATTTACTAATCCAGTCGCGCCCTTACTTCAAAATTTTCCACTATAAGCATCAAATTCCTGAAAATATCTGAACGATTTAGAAACTTATGCAGTTTGCAAAGCTGAACTTGCCCTTTGTTATCATGATATGGTAGATCTCCAGTAAACAAATCGATTAATATTTATATACAAACACTATTAGAAGTTAAACATTTTTTTGTAACATTGCTTGTCTTTCTAGAGATTTTTTTTATGTGAACATCTTGCTGAAGTTTTAAGATTAATGATCAAAATCATATTCATGATAAAGTTTGGCGTCTTATTTATCAACTACTCACACAGATCTTGATGCAAAGTGTTACAGGGAAAAGAAAGACTGAAATCAAACATCGCTTAAAATAATTGAAAAACTTACAGCGATTTAATTAGCTAAAAATTGCCCTAATGTCCATTCATTCTCCAAAAGTATGTGAAACTTTATTTAGACAGATACAGAAATTTTAAGCTGAACCTGTCCATTAGTCTCATGATACAGTAAGATTCCAGGAAATTGCCATTAAAAATATTTATCCAAACACTTCTATTAGAAGTTGATCGCACTGTCATATTTGATTTATCTAAAAAAGTGTGCATATTTCTTATTGCAGAGTGTTACGGGGGAATAAAGAGAGCTTCTGACCTTAGCACCGTGTGCTCGGATATTCGACACATTTCCTGCCTCCAGACTCAGTGAGTCAATACGAGGAAGCTTTTTGGCTGATGGCTTCCTTCCTTTGAGTGCATCTATGGATTCTTCGTTATCCGCTACTTCGGATTTGATGCTGGTATCAAACTCTACATCACCCATGTCTGCAAGCTTACTGCTGCGTCTCTGGTATGCTTGAGTTTCATGTTCTCTTCCCTTCACATTTATAGGCAGCCAGCATAGCCAACTACTCACTGGAAAATGAATATATTAATACAAACCGTTGTATAATATACATGTATGTATATAGATAACACCAAGAAGTTCATACAGTGTTAATGATGTTAATGCTACCAGTTAGTCAATGAAATCTCAGCTTGCCAACAACAGAGTTATATTTAATTATTATCATTTTGGAATGTTAACGTCTTCATCTTCATACACTAGGAGTATATAATATGTGGGTGGGTGTTTTTCCGGGGGTTGGGGGGGGGGGTGGTTAATGTTATAATCTTGTATATATGTACTATGTAGATAACAACACCAACGTCGTAGAGTTAGTCAACGAAACCTTGGCTTGCTAACAACATACTTATTGTTGCTAATTATCATTTTGGAGCGTTAATATCATTGTCATAGTTAAGAGTATAAAATTATAATACTTAACCCTCACCACAACTTCTGAGTTTTGGTGTAATGAATGAGACCTTTTGACATTGTATTAGAACAACCCAGATTTAAGTCCCACACAAAATTAAAGTGGATTTTTAATATAGAAAAGAGATACCAATGCGGGAGTCCAAGTTTCAGCCGATGAAAAGGACGTTCAACCTGCGAGGGCATGTTGGAGTATAAAAGTATAACCTTTGTCCGTCATCACAACTTCGGGGTTTTTTCATATAGTGGAAGGGACCTTTAACATTCCTCATATGCTAAGAATATACAGTATATATGTACGTGCGTATATATGTATATTTGTACGTGTGTGTATATATAGCTAGATAACAATTAACAACACCAACTTCGTACAGTGGTAATGAGTATAATAAATTAAGGGTTTTTACATCAAAACCATATTTACCTTTACCCGAATTGATACTTACCATCTTTAAAGTATTTTTTGATGTAAGCCACATTTGCTTACTAACATGTTAGCAATGTCGCACATAATCTAATTTTCAGCCAAAAATACGCGAAATGACCATTTTACCCTCACCATTTTTCTCATCTCCTTCCTCACAAACCCTAACCCTAGCCTCCTCATCCTCCTCTTCTTCCCGTCCTCCCTCTTCCTCCTCCCCCAACTGCCCTCCCCATCTCTCGTCCTCTTCCTGTCCGAGCTCCCACTCTCCTATTCCTTCCCAAGTGGGAACTAGGATTAGGGTTAGGGTTTGGGGGAGGTGACAGCTATGAGTTAGGGTTAGGGTTTTGGAGGAGGTGGCAGCTATGGGTTAGGGTTATGATTTGTAGAATATGAGGATGAAGGAGGCTAGGGTTATGTTAGGGGTTGGAAGGAAGAAGATGGGGTTGGGGGAGATGCCGACCATGGGTTAGGGTAGGTCTTGGGGGAGGTGGCGGCCATGGTTAGGGTTAGGGTTTTGAGGGAGGTGACGGCCATGGGTTAGGGTTAGGGTTAGTAGAAGAGGAGGATGAAGGAGGCTAGGGTTACGGTTAGGGGTTGGAATATGGGGGTAAAATAGAAATATCTGATTTTTTGTAGGTGAACAATAAAAAAAGGTGTGACATTGCAAACATTTTAGCAAATAAAGGTGGTTTACATAAAAAAAAAACTTTAAAGGAGGTAAGTATCAATTTGGGTAAAAGAAAATGTTGTTTTGATGTAAAAACCCTAATGTTAATAGAACCAGTTAGTTAATGAAATCTTGGCTTGCTAACAAAATAGTTATCTTTGCTAATTGGCATTTGGGAATGTTAAGGTTATGGTCATCACACACTAAGAAGTATGATTTATTTAACATATTACAAACCTTAGATCTTAACTCCAAAACCAAGTTGCAGATTTGTCATGGGTGCTCGTAAGTTGACCAATAAAAGGACAATGTAAAGTTCATCAAAAAAGAAGTCAGACAAGCAACCATCCTCCAGATGTCAGCAGTTGCCAAGTTCAAAGGAATTAAAAATACCATTTATGCTCTAGATTAAGTTTATTCCTCCACTTATCTGCTCATTTCTGACTTTCTATAGAACCCCCCTCTTTTTTTTTTTTTTTTTTTCCCTGTAAATAGGTGCTGTACTTCCAATGAAAGATGGTGTCATAAAGTAGAGTCTTCATCTATGGAAGGTTTCATTCGTACATGAATTGTTTAGCCAAAATTAGCTTTCAGATACCGCTGCACTCTTCCAGAACAATGAAAAGAACCTCACTCTCTTAAAAATGGAATTGTTATTGTTTCTAATGAACATATTATCGAGGAATCTGTGAGAAAATCTCATTATTAAATCTTACTTGACGTATTTTAACCAAATGACATTGTTTGAAAATATTCTTTCAATTGAGCCATTGAATGTTGCTTGTTCTTTCAGCCTGTATTATTGCAACTTATTCAACTTTAATTTTGTTTAATGAAATGCTGTAACTCTAAGTTTGTTATAAAATAGGACATTATGGATGAGATAATGTTGGTTATGGAAGTGGACAATGCAATCAGGACTCTTTCAACTCCCTACTCTGCAGGTAAGTTTCACAAGTTACTTGTTACGCAAAAAAGTAAAAGTTGATAAACTTTCTCGTGTTCCTTTGAACTGGTACAAGATCTGACTTCCAAGTTGAAGGATATGCTATTTAATTTACACCCTAATGCATTATTGGTGTTAGTTTATGTTATACTGATGAATTTATATTCTTCAATAAATTCACATCTTTCGGTTGACTCTGAATTAGAATATCCTTTTTAGGTATGATTTTTTTTGTCTCTCAATATGCAATGAAGGGGCACAATAAGGGTTTTAGTCGTTGATTCTAAATTGTGCCTAATAGAATGAACAAATTTTCACTGTAGACCCAAACCAAGTTTTAATTACCAAAATCGACCTATTTTTTTTAATTACCAAAATCGACCCATTTTATGCCACATAAGCTTAATTACATTTCTTAATTAGTCGGGGTTGGCAACCCCGACTGTTTAGGGCATTAAAAATTGGGTTTAAGGTTTCTATTTGGGGTTTAACAACTCCTAAACAGTCGGGGTTGGCAACCCCGACTAATTAGGAAATGTGATTAAGCTTACGTGGTATAAAATGGGTCGATTTTGGTAATTAAAAAAAATGGGTCGATTTTGGTAATTAAAACTTGGTTTGGGTCTACAGTGAAAATTTGTTCTAATAGAATCTTTAGCTTTAGAACTTTGCATGAAGGACTCACCTAACTGTTGCTCTGTCGTCTGTGAGACACTTTTAATTCTTTTCCCAAGGTTTAAAAGATTTTTGTCATTGTAAATATCATCCTGGTGTTCTCACTAAGATTTTAGTGTCAAATGCTCATTTTTTAAATTTAATGGCTAAGTAGTACTTAAATACCTTATGATTTCCCCTACTTTGCATTTATATACTCTCACTTGTTTTAAGTAGCACATACACCACTTGAAGTTTCTAATTTAACACTTTAATACATTCTGTTATACAAATACGAGAATTTCCCTTCAAATACTTTCATCTAACACTCACATGTTAAATTTACTTTTTTTTACCTTTAATGTTTATTGAATTTACCGTGAAACCTACCTAGATTCTATTTTAAACATACCCCAATTCTATTTTAAAGTAGAATTTGGATTGGTCTAAGAGTATTTCAACAAACATTAAGGCTAAAAAGTTCTAAAATTAGCATTTGAATGCCACGTGGGAATATCCGAGAAAATATTCTCACATTTGCATAACAAAAGGTGTTAAAATGTCAATTCTAAAAAAAACTAGGGTGTATAAGTGCTGCAGAAATCTAGTGAAGGTATATAAGTGCAAGGTTGGGGAAACTATAAGGTATTCAAGTTCAAGTTCCTAGTTTCTATTTTCTTCCTATTTTTAATATTTTTTGTTGTCTTCTCGTTTTTTCCCCTTTTTGCAAAAAAATCTTAGTGTTATTTTTCCTTCTCGAAAAAAAAAATCTTAAGTGTTTTTTTTATTACGTAAATCTTTGGATTGCCAACTTGCTTCTGGTTTCGCTTTCCACAACATTTGATTACTTGTAAGAACTAAAGCAAGGTAAATGAGAGCCTTCTTTATTGATTTCAAAGATGTTTATTTAGTTTGACACTGAATATTTTTTTCTTTTTTGGTGTTCATTTACTACTTTTATCAACCAAGAAGCCCGTGTCAGCAAAGTTTTTGGCTGTATGCAGGGAAGGTGCAATCTCCCTCTCAAGATAAATGTGGGGAAAAAAGAAATCACAAAGGAAGCTCCTTGCTTGTACTCTGTGGTATGAATCATCATCAAAAAAACTGTTTATCCTTTTAATATGAAATTATGAATTTATATTCCTCTTATATATATTAATCAATGCCCATTATAGTTAAATTAGTGCATGTCTTTATCATCAGATCCAGAGTTATCATTAGTTTTATCTGATTCACATGCCTTTCAGTTAATAATTAACTGACATATTAGTAGACTAATTATGTTTATTTCATTGTATTCTTCCAACAAAGTCAAATACACATAATAGTGAAGCATGTCTTATGCAGTCATAATTACAGGGATAGCATCAATAAAGTTCTAAGACGAGGACCTAAAATATTAATTAAGATCTTAAATGTCGGTTAATTAAGCTCTAACTAGGAGAGGAAAAAGAGTTTCATACATTTTGAGTCATCAGAGTCTTGACTTTTTATGTGACATAAATTAATTCCATAATATTGTAATGTGGAGTAAATTGGTGCTCGGCAATGTTAATGACTCAGTTGTGTATATAACCTTATTTTATGCAATCTAATAAACAATGATCAATAAAAAAATTTCCTTCGTCAATCATTATATGCAACCCAATTCTTCTGTCAGTTCGTCAATTTTACATTATTTTGCACAAGAATTATAAAAGAAATATAAAAAACTATAGGGATATCTTTAAACAAAAAATTATTTAAGGGGGTCTATAATTATGACGTATTCTATTTTGGTAGAGAAGTCATGGTGTTGTTGGCTTACAGGTAAGTAGTTGACTAGTGCAAGAATATTATGAGTAATTTATCGAAATAGGAACCAAAGTGATAATATAAACAAAGGGATGTATAGATGTAAAAAGAAAGTATTAGTCCAAACTCAATCTTATTTTAAAATTGCTAAACACGCCCCAAAACTTTTAGATATTTAAATTTTGGTTTTTTCAAGTCGCGGATAGAATATTCTGTACTCATATAATGCAATTTGAAAGTTCTCTCTATCATGATGTTGATTCTCCATGTCTCAACAATTTTGAAATTATCCCTTTAAAAAAAAAATGAATTCAATAATTGTCCATATATTTTAGATCAAAATTTGTCCTATTATACATCTTGAACGGTCTGACTTTTTTAATGCAACCTTTTTTTCTATATTCAGAATCCGCGTCCAAAGAGATGTCCGCGTATGCGGAGAAGACGTCAGGCTCTCCTTTTCCATGAGCAAAAGTCGTACACACAACCGTACAAAAGCTTCTTTCTTTTTCTTTAAATTTTTTTTTCTTCTTATTTTAGAGGACTTTTATATTTTAAAAAAAAAAGTACATAAGGAATTCATAATATCAAGTCTTCTACAAGTTTTAAATCGAACGTAATCAATACAATGTCGGAGAATAAATATCAATACGAACAGTTAAAATCTTGATATAAATATAATAATATTAAAATATTAATCATCAACTTTAAAATATGTGGGCTAGGAGTTGATTGCCTTAACGCATATGAATCCCTTCTTTACGACCCTAAATTTCGGGATACGAGGGAAGCCTCGGCAATGCGTGAGGACCATCGGGTTAAAGCCTCGAGTTTCATTCCAGATCACTACTAAGTAAACCTCGGACGTGTAGATCCCATCTTCCATTCTTGACACTCTGGGTTAGGCAGACAAGGTTCGAACTAGCAGAATTACGATTGCATCTCCCAGGGCACCCGTGCTACCCGTGGTGGGTAAACTTTTGCGAAAAGTGAATTATAATGATTTTGAGGTCTATAAATTATGTTAGAGCCTGTTTAGATTTGTAGGGGGTGAAGGGAAGTTAGGGAAGATTTGATGTTTGCAAAATGTTCTCATTGAAGCAATGTAAGCATTTTGTCTCCAGCCTCAGTAGGGTCGGCCTCACACTCACAGTAGACCTATATGGGCCTTGTTGGGTCCATAACGAGGGAGCAGTAGTGGGCCTAGGCAAATAAAGTGTTCAATGAGAAAATAACCACCAATGAAGGTCAAAAAAAAAAAAAAAGCTTTCCTCCCCTTTTTCTTTTAGCCGAAGACAATGAATAAATTTTGAACGAGAGACCTTTCGTAACTAGATTTCTATTGTCAAGATTTATAAGACTTCTCTCTCTCTCTACATCAAGGGGGGTGTTTGGTTGCACAATTTTATAGAAAATTTTCTCCAAATGTCTGACAATGGCAATTCTGTAATTAAAAGTTTTCTGTAGATTTCTGTAAACTGTGTTTGGTTCAAAAAAATTTACAGAAATGTTTTCTGTAAAGTACAGAAAAATATCAAAATTTACAGAAATCAATTTTCTCTCAAAATAGGCGAAAATCACCCAGAAATCTAACACCACATTGACATTTTTCTATAAAGTTGACACTTTTCTATAAATTTAGGGGGTGTTTGGTTCAATTTTTATAAAATTATAGGAAATTTTGCTATTTTCTATAAAGTTATGGGCTATTTTCTTATTTTGAACCAAACAAGCAAAGTAAAAAAACAAGAAAATTGGTACTTTTTGACTTCTCAAAACTTTTACTATAATTTTTTTTAAGAAATACAAGGAAATCATATTTAGGGTGGAAAACATTTCCTATAATTTGTAGGAAATTTTGAGTATAGCCAGGTTTAATGAGATAATGGGATTTTTTCTAAATGGTAAAATCTTGAAGTTAAGGGGTTTTCTGCCCCTAAACTTGAGGGGTTTTTTTTTAAAGATATTTTGAAAGTTACGGTGGGTTATCTAATAATCATCCTGGTATTTGCTGTTTGTAAAATTATTTACCTTTCTCAAACGAAGCTAATATTTTTGTTAAACATATCCTCTAACCTTCATAGTTATGTAGCAATCACAGTTTAACATGCTACTTACCCTACCCAATGATTAATCAGGAAGCCAAATTGAAATGAAGGGGGCAAAAAAAAAAAAAAAAATCAATCCATATAATTAGCACCTTTTACAATTTCTTAAAAAGTAAAGGTATATAAATTAATTTTCAATTGCTCTTACCAATTAAGGCAGGATTTTCCAAGAGACGTTTGATGGCAGCCATACCCACGATATTAGGCTTGAAAATCTTGCTCTAAAACTTACAAAATCTTGCGTGATTACAAGGTAATTTGCACCTTATAATGTTTTTTTATGAAGTTTTTATACATCATGAGCTATAACCAGTTATTTTGGCAGGGGAGTTTCTCGAAACTGCCGAAAAAAAAAAGGGGACGAATAGATGAGTAATATTTCTAGCATTATCCTTTTTAGTGAACTACGAGAATTATATCAGAATCTCTAAGCCGGCAATAATTACAAAGGGTGGGTGAGTAATTGGAGTCAAAGTATAACCATAGTTTGGTTTAAAATAAAGTTGATAATTGTAATTGAATCAGTTGAAATGAAAAGAGTACTAGATAATCTAAAAATGGGAGAAGAAGCCTTACAAATCATCAAGAGGGAGAAGAAAAATGGGAGATGAACTCACATAAGTACACGCGTATGAAAAGAGTACCAATAAAAAAGGCCATGAAGCGGCAGCTCATTCGCTCATTGGCAAAATGAGCTGCCAAGAGATAAGCTAGTGATGAGACCCACATAGCTAGTCATATCAAAAGGTGTGAATCTAACTAATTTATCTCTTGATAGCTCATTTTGCTAAATGAAGCGCCACCAGTGGCCGAGTCGGGAATTTTGATTTGGGAAAAATAACTAAATGTGATAATGTCATATTTTTTTTCCACAGTTGATTGGCATGTAAACTTTATTACATAACAATAGTTCTATAAAGTTATATTTCCAATTAGAATATAATCTTTTAGTAGCTTTCTTCGTATCTTTATTTCTTGAAACTATTTCATGACCATCATCATTGACCCTCAAATCAATTAAAATCATCTTGTTTATTCATGAAGGCACGATTACAATTTTTGATGATTGATTATAGCATTATATATATTCTTTTACATTTTTTTTTCTATAAACTCTACAAATTAATTTACATGAGAAAGACCTTTAAATGTTGAATTTCATATAAATATTTTTGTTCTCTTTAAAATATTACTTATGAAACGAATTTAAGAAATAATTAACATCTGTATCCCGTAATTGTAGCAAGACTAGTCCTATTAGATATTTAAAAAAAAGGAGTATGCTCCTACTAAAAGTTAGAAATTTTTATTCCTCAATTTCAAATTAAGTATGCGATTACGATAACCGAATGACGGTAAATTCATTTCTCACCTAAAAATCCAATCGAAAAATAATTTTCGAGAAGTATGAACTTTTGAAGTTAAAAGAGAAGGTAATAAACAATGCATTTTTGCAAAAAGGCCCACACACTTCTTAAATTAACCAAGCTATTTTGAAAGAAAATCAGAAAGTACAGTGTATATAGATTCAAGACTATAAAAGTATATTCTAATCACTCAAAACCTTTAAAAAAAATAGCTAGCTGGCGTGCGTTAAGTGAGTCAGCGGGCGCTGCTCGGATACCTGCAGGCCCGACGACGGGCTATGCAAGTATCTCAGCTCATTGTGAACAGGGCTGTCGCCCGCTGTGGCGACCATTGGCGAAGAAACATCTGTTGGGGATTCGTCCTATCGATAACCTATCAAATGAACCCTCTCGCGGAACATGTCATCCGGATCTTATGTTGAAAGAAGGCAAGAAGAAATCACAGCAAATAAAAGAAAACTTTGCTAGGAAAAAAATAGAAGAGAGAGCACCAAAATTTTAACGAGGTTCGGCAACTTGCCTACGTCCTCGGGAGCCACACAAAAAATTTCTTTAAATATTAAAGAAGATTACAAAGCTTTGCAAGAGATGATCTCAAACTCCTTGAGATCACTCAAAAATGAACTCTCTTTTTATTTCTCAAGGCGTGAGATTTTTCTACGAAAAATCGCAGCTCAAGACGCTGCAAAAATCGCCCCCAAAAAACGCTCTGAAGATCGCTCTGGAAAACTCGCGTTTAAGTGGCGGCCAGTGTTCCCTATTTATAGGGAAACCCTAGGTCAAAACAGATTAGGATTCTGTTTTCTGCGAGTTCCCCTGACTGCGAAGCTCGCGTGTATGACTTATGTTCGCCTGAACATAATCAAGCTCGCCTGAACTGCTTCGCCTGCACTTGGAGTTCGCCTAAACCTCCAAAGCTCGCCTGATCTTCCAAGTTCGCCTGATTTCTTAACTTAGAGAAATCTTTGTTTTGCATGATTGTTCTAAGATTTGGGTCTACACTCGAAACTAGGGCTGTCCATCCGGGCCGGCCCGGCCCGGCCCGGCCCGGAAAACCGGGCCCGGGCCGGGCAAAACCCAAGCCCGGACCCGGGCCCGGGTGGTCCGGGCCGGGTCCGGGCCCGGGCCCGGGCCTGAGCGGGCCGGACACCGGGCCGGCCCGGTTTGTTTTTTTTTTTTAAATTTTGTTTTTTTTTATTTTTTTAAATTTTAACAAAACCATAAATTATAAATTATTATAAAAAATGTCATAAATTTTATTAATAACTTGAAATGAAATGACATAAATTACAAGTACAAAAAATGATAAAAATAACTTCTTTATTAATAATCGGTAAATCCTTTACAAGTATAAATTTATTTCGAAATTCGTCGCATCACAATAGATGAGTACATCCCAACTAGGTTGGCACCTACTCACCCATATCACTATCATTTGCAACTTTTTTCGAAATAATTTAATTCAAATTTAAAGCTAAGAAATAAAAATTACAATTTTATGAATATTATCTAATCATTATATCTATCTGCTAGTCCCAACTCTTCAAATTTATCTTCAATCATAGCAATCCGTTCGATGCCTTGTGTTCGCTTCTCGTATCTCCACCAATCCTGTAAGCACATCACCGCTTGTACAGTATACGGATCTAAGCATGTCCTGTGGTCGTCGATCAAACGTCCTGCTGTGCTGAAAGCGGATTCCGAGGCTACAGTCGAAACCTGCACTGATAGTAAGTCACGAACCATGGTGGAAAGTATAGGATATGAAACTGATCCATATACTTTCCACCATTGCAAAATATCTAAAGCATTTCCTTGACATCTAACTAAAGAAGCAGAAAAATATTCATCTATTTCAGAAACATCTAATCCTGATGAAGTTCCAGATCCACCAGTTAGTTCAGCTACCATTGCATACCTATCAAAACTTACACTTTTACCTCGACCTGTGCTCGAAGCTGAAGGTGCCGAAGCTGAAGACTGTTGTGTAGCTACACCATATCTAGCTGCATACTCATCATATAAGGTTTGAAAATAATTTCTAATAGCTAAATAATGAGTAGTAGCAGTAAGGGTGGATCCATCATCTAAGTCTATAATCTGTCCACCATACAATGATTGTAACAAACTTCGAAGGCCAATTTCCTTCAAGCATGGATCAATAAGAACACCAATACCAAAAATATGAGGAATAGGCCTAAAATACTTATTAAATTTACTCTCCATTTCAAAAATTATACTTCCAAAAATATCATCCATACGATATTTTGTAAAATTTTTTTGAATATTTAAAATTTGTAAAGCAGCTAAAGTAATAGTTGGATAATAACAACCAGATAATAACATAGTAGCATCATAAAAAACTTGTAACATCTCATTTAATTTACATATAACTGTCCATTCATCTTCAGTTATTCCATAAGCACTACCAGAGCTAGAACTAGAAGCATAAAAATTTATAAAATCATTTATAATTTCTTTATATTCTATTGCTACAGATAACATTGCATAGGTGGAATTCCACCTATGGTCAACATCTTTTGGAATTAGTCTAGGCTTATAATTTTTTCTTTTACAACATTGTTTCCATCTTTTAATTCTCATTTCAGAAGCATTATGCATATTAGTAACTGTTCTAACTTTTTCTATCATGGGTTTAATTTCAGAAAATGCACTTTGAACAATTAAATTTAAAATATGACAGATACATCTAACATGAAAAAGCTCACCATGACATGGCAATGACAAAGTTATTTTCAGAAAATCAACAGCTACATTATTATTACTTGCATTATCTAGTGAAAGAGTAAATATTCTTTGATCAATTTCTAGTTTCATAAGTTCTTCAACAATTAAATTTGCAACATTAATACCAGTGTGTGACTCTTCAATTGCAATAAAAGAAACAACTCTTTTAAACATTTTCCAACTTTCATCAATCCAGTGTGCTGTTATACATAAATAACCAGTTTGCACTCTAGATGACCAAATATCAGAAGTTAAAGAAAATTTGCAGTTTAAATTTTTAAAATAAGAAATTATTTTTCCCTGTTCCTCAACATAATATTTTAAAATATCACGTTGACAGGTTTGACGAGAAAATTTTGTAAATGCAGGATAAAAACCATCTCTAAATAAATCTTCAAATTCATCATCTTCTACTAATTTAAAAGGAAGGTTTTTAAGAACAATAAACCTGATTACGCATTTCCGGGCTCGGGCAGCGTCATAATTCCAACTGCCGAGGGTACCTGAAGAGGATGATTGGGAAAGCATAGACTGCCGGATATCACCTTGTAGATTTTGGCCTTTGTTGTGTTTTTCAATATGCCGTTTGAGATGGTTGGTGCCGCTCTTATGATGAGCTTTGAATATCTGGCCGCACAACGCACATTTCGCATTCTGAGAGATGATCCTACCGTGTTCATCCTTGGTGACGTCTATCTTCTCAAAAAAATTCCATACATCAGACCTCGGCCTTTTTGGAGCTCTTGGTGCCGTAGATTCGTCGCCACCAGATTCAGGATTAACACCGGTAGGATGAGGAGTTGTTGTAGGAGGACTCATCTCTGGATCGGTAGGAGTTGCATGTTGCTCTTCATAATCAGACCCAGAAGCCATTTGTTGGAAGTATTAGAAAATACAAAAGATTATAGGATAGTATATTAGTATGAGATAGTATAAGATTGTATAAGAGAGTAGTAGAGAGAGAAATAGATGAGTTTTGTTGTGAGAAAATGAATTGAAACCCCCCCTCTATTTATAGAAGCAGCCCCCTAGGTAAATGACCAAAAAACCCTCGAAAAATAGCCGTTTTTTGACCGTTTTAAGGGGCAAAACGGTCAAAAGACCAAATCTGGCCGTTAGGCCAGATTTGGCCCGGGCCGGGCGGGCCCGGGCCCGGACCCGGGTTTTGCCCGGGTTTCCGGGCCCGGGCCGGGCCCGGGCCCGGGCACGACCGGGCCGGACACCGGGCCGGGTCCGGGCTCCGGGCTTTTTGGACACCCCTACTCGAAACCAACAACATCTCCAATAATGTGGTCTTCAACGTTGTAGTGCCCAAGCTTTAGAACAAGCATACTCCATAATTGCATTGATTATCTAACAATTATAACCTTGGACGGGCCGGGCTGGCCCGGCCCGGCCCGGATTCAACGGTCACATAAGTGACCGTTGTGGCCGGGCCGGGCCGGGCCGGTCCGGCCCGGCCCGGCCATTCGAAGAACCAGTGCCCATTTTTGGGCACTGTTCCGGGCCCGGGCCGGGCCCGGACAGGGTTCGCCAACGGCGACCCGGGCCCGGGCCCGGACCCGGGTTTTGCCCGGGTTTTCGGGCCCGGGCCGGGCCCGGGCCCGGGCACGACCGGGCCGGACACCGGGCCGGGTCCGGGCTCCGGGCTTTTTGGACACCCCTACTCGAAACCAACAACATCTCCAATAATGTGGTCTTCAACGTTGTAGTGCCCAAGCTTTAGAACAAGCATACTCCATAATTGCATTGATTATCTAACAATTATAACCTTGGATCCGCACGTGAGTGAGTTATATGTGAGTGAGTTATATTCTGATGTAGAACACACGGCAGACACATTTATGTCAAAGTGGGACAGTTGCAAGTCCAAATGCGGGCCTGGTCGAAGAAAATAAATTGTTTCGAAGAAACGACCATAACTTTCAAATCGTACGTCGAAATTGGAGGAATTATATATGAAAATCGACTATCTCGACGAGATGGAGCCATCCAAACCTATCCCTAAGGATTCGGTTTGCTTCCTTCGTTTTGCCAAATTCCTTACCGTTTGAAAGATATCTGCATTTTTGTCCGTTTTTACTATTTTTAGTGCTTTAGAGTCTGTTTTGATTATGAAACAAAGCCGATTTGATCTTAGATTTGACCGGTAGACTTTCCTAGTCGTAAGGAGTCTTTTTAGGAGTTGTAATATTTTAGGAATTATTTTACTATTTTTGGTAAGTTAGAGTCCTTGTAGGAGTTTGAGTCATTATAAAAGTTTTGTTTCTTTTCTATTTAAATAGGATCTTGTAAGCCCTATAGGCATAATTTTAATAAAATTTTGTTTTTCTTCAATATTTACTTCGTGGATACAAAGATTGTCCTTGATGGATTCCGAAGCTACAACTTCCGCGCTGCATCAAAATTTAAATGCCCCCCCCCCCTATTCAAATAATTTTCAACCTCAAATCTGACATGACAGCCCACTAGACTTAGCTCGTTTGAAATCTGACATGACAGCCCACTAGACTTAGCTCGTTTGAAAATTAACAGGCATGAGCCCGAATCCTAAAACCCTAAACCGGAAAGCGCAAATAAACAATACCCATCAAGTACTATAATTTTTATAATTCATATTTTTATTGTTAGTTAAATAGATGTTTGTTGTTCCCCTAAGAATTTTTATAGAATTACATATTTTTTTTGTAACGGAGAAGATCCAAATTCATTATTACGCTCGCACCACCGTGCAAATCGAAGGACTTCAAAGTCGAGAAATGAATAATCAATGGTTGCTTTGGAATATTGTTTTCGTCACACTTGTAATGGTTACGACAAACAAAGGAGGAGGAAAAAGAGCATCTCAAAAAGCAACAACAAACTTATAATGTGCCTCTGGAAAAGGCATAATAAAACAAAGCATTTTACTGTTAACTTTGGAAGATTATCAGATACCCAGGGTGACTTTCAAAATATCAGAAAACCCCTTTTTTAAGTTAGGAGTTTTACGTGTTATCAGAAAACTCTCTCTTCATATTAAGATTTTATTATCAAAACAAACTTCCCTAGAAACGTATAAACCATAATTTTTATCATCAAAAAATATCTCAAAATTTAACATAGAAATTATCTCAAATTTTATCTCAAAATATCTACTCTTTTACTCTCTGTGTCATTTGTTATGCTGTTCAGATCAAATTATCTCAAAATTTATCTACTTTCTTACTCTCTGTGTCCTTTGTTATGCTGTTCAGATCAAATCTCATCTCCCCTCACTCATCTCTAATATTTTATTTTCTTACCAAATATTATAATTATATAATTAATTTAAAAATAAAAATTGTATACATCCTCAATTTATTAAACAATAAACTTGAGATGAAGAAAATATATCTCAAATTTTTTTTGAAAAAAACGCTTTAAGACTTGTACTATAATAAAAAATAAAAAAAATAAAAAGCTACAATGTGTAAAATAATAATCATTATCAACATCTGATGGTCCAAAAAATTTATTTAATAGGTAATTATCATTCTCATGAATAATTATATGATACATAAAAAATATTCATCCCCTAAAATACATAAATATATATTTTATTATTATAAAAAATTGTCCAACGTTATTTTATTTAAAATTTCCTACTAACAAAAAAATTATTCTACTTTAACAATTTATCCTATTTCGCGTGCTGTAAATTATTCTACTTTAACAATTTATCCTATTTCGCGTGCGTGACAGCGTCACGATAGACCACCACCACCTAAAACCCAAATTAAAGCACATACTTGCCAACTATGAACTTAATTTATACCTGGAAACATTTGCATCTACAAGCATAAAACCCCCTTATATCGGATCTTTTATATTTTATAATAACATAAAAGAGTTTCAAATACATTTTTCTTACAAAAACAAGGGTAAAGTTCCACCTTTATTTAAATATACATCTTAAACTCTCCCATTACAACTTCAGTTCCCACGCGGGTCCACACCAACAGACTTCAGGGTCTCAACCCGCCTCGGGGAGCGAAACGGC